AATACTTATACTTATACATAGATATGTTTTATAAAAATTTGATGTTTCAAAACTACGTTTCACTAAGAATATATTGATATTAAACTTATATCATAATGCGATGTGTTTTTTCTACAAACCAGAATCAAAATTTAAAAACTTTGACCAAGAAAAGTCAAATGAGAAGAACGTTTGCGAACGAAATGAGTAGTAATATCTCATTATTTGTTGAGGATATACATGTGTTAAAAGGAAAAAAGGCCATTATATAATTTGCATGCATATAATTAATAATGTTTTTGAAAAGGGACCTCAAAGGCAATGGATTGAGTGGTGAAATCCCAAAGGAGCTGGGGAATTTAAAGAAGTTGGTAACGTTGAATCTCTCCCAAAACAACCTAACCGGTTCCATTCCCATTGAGCTATGCAATATCGCAACCCTACGCAACCTGTACGAATGGCATATAAACTCTCTCTCTCTCATCTCTCATTTTATTTTAATTTTTTTTATTTATATTTTTAAGTTTTGACCATAAATAATGAGAAGAATACATTAAATTATAATGGGAGAATTGAATTTTGTGTCAGCTCACAGCCCTAAACAAGCTATAGGAATTGAATTGCATAAGTATAAGAAAAAAATGTCAAAAGTATAAGACTAAAACATATTTCCTCCGTTTCTCAAAACGGTTCCTGTTTTGACTTTGGGGAAAAATAAGGAAAGTGTAATTTTAGTCGACTTTCCAATTTTGCCCCTGATGTGATGGGTAAAAGTAAGATGTGATAGTTTAGTTATTAGTGAAAAAGTATGGTGTGATAGGTAGGGTATGAAAAAGTAGGGGTAAAAGTGGTTTTTTAATAGAAAAGGAAAGTATTTTAAGAAAAACAAAAAAAAATAAAAGAGGAAGGGTTTTAAGAAACGGAGGTAGTACTCACAACAAGGAAGATGAACAATATAGCATTATTTCTATTTTTATCATAAAATATTAAGTACTCCGGTTAATATTGCCGATATATAATGCCAAATTTCATCGTGTAATGTGAATTTACAGTATTACATTTTCACAGTACAATTGTTTTATTTTGAGAATTAAAATTTTAATCAGTAAGGTGTACCCCAAAGATTGTACACCGAAATATATATACCCTAAAGGTTTATTCTTACATTTTGATGGCTTAAGTTGATACAAAATGTCAGTGTGGTCGCAAAATTTTGCACTGACATTTTGTGTTAATGTAAGTCATCAATCTTTCACCCACATTGGCACAAAATGTAAGTGTAAAATTTTGGGGTACATTTTGAGGTATAATCCGCGGATACAAGTAGATTTGTTCTAAAAATTTGGTGGGTATTTCTCGATCTCTGCATATAAGCACGTCAAACCTACTTATAATCTATTTTTAACTTATAAGTCAGCTGATTATTAACAAAATTATTTAACAGAATTATTTTTCACCATTTATGAATGTTCCAAAAGATTTATCTATCATTTATATATGTCATTTTACTTCAATAAAAGAATACCTAACTTTTAAGCAGGCTATATATAAGTTAAAAATTATTTATCAGCAATAAACTAATATGCACTAACATAGAAAAACACTATATTACACAGTTATATGGTACTCTTCCTTTTTTAGTGCGTACATGGTACTTCTATTTTAAAATAATGGATATATTGGTGAGAGACGTCTCGAGTGAGCGATTTTGCCCCTCTGGAACAATAAAAATTAGGACATATCTTACTCTCATTTTGGTGATTTCTTCAAATACAGGGTTTTGTTTCTTTTAATGCTGCACTAATTAATTTTCTTCCTCTTTGTTTCTTTTAATTAATGGTGTGGAAAATGGAAATGAAGGTGGCTTGATGATAACAAATTGACTGGTGAAGTTCCTGCTGAATGTTTTCGGAAACAAAACTTGTAAGTATACGTAGCCCAAAAACTAAAATTATATATGTTGTTTTTATGGTTTTATTTTCTTTTTTTCCTTTCGAATTGATTGAATCAAATAGAGTGTTAGAGAACTTTAAATCAAAATAAATAAATTAAAAATAATGAAATGTTTAATTTAAGTTTTTATTTAAATTAAAATAAACAAATTAAAATATTAAAAAAAAGATGGGAAAAGAGAACCACACCACACGCGACACGCCTAATTAATTGAATCGCAAGACCATTACTTGTGAGAATTTTTTTTAGAGCCAAAGTTTTTTTATGTAAGAACTCTCTAGACAACAATAAAAAAAATTATGAAAATATCAAAATATAAGTCATAAGTTCTTTAAAACTAAAATAAAAGTTCACACTGTCATTATTATATTGTCACACTCACCACATTGTCACATTGTAACTAATACATTATCACCGTCACAATGTCATTATACTCATATTTCAATCTTAAAAGACTCATGACTCGTATTTTAGTATTTTCATTCTTTTTTACTAATATTATTGCAGTGTCTTTAATGGCAACACGGGTCTAATTGGTGTGCCTGCTACTCCATCCCTTCCGACTGATTCCGCCGGTCCAAATTCAACTCCTCCCAAAAGGTTCATTTAATTCGTCCCTAAATTCTTTTATAGCTTCATAATTTATTTCTCCATCTGATCCAAAATTCGTACCCGACTTTATTTGAGAAGAATGTCCACCAGTGGTGGATCCAGAAAAATATTTTTTACTCGGGACACGGGTTTTGGGGCAGGAATCCCGAAAAGTTTTTTTTAAGTCATTTATAATGATGAAAAATGAATAAATTAAATTTCAAACAAGTTTTCAAATGGGTAAGATAAAATATTTTTAAACTAAAAAAATACTCCCTCCGTCCCTAAACAAATTTTTCCTATCGTTTTTTCTTTGTCCCCAAATAAACTTATCTTTTCCCTCAAAAAACCCCTTTACCCCTTACTTTTTCATACCCTACCTATCACATCATACCTTTTTACTAATAATCTACATATCACATCTTACTTTTACACATCACATCAAGGGTATTTTTGGAAAGTCAACACAAAAATATCCCTCCCTTAAATCCTCAAAAAGTCAAAAAGGGAAGTTTATTTAGGGACGGAGGGAGTATAATTTAAAATACAGGGTATATCATAACATAATATCATTGACTAAATATTTTCCTTTATATTTTATTTAAATAATTACTTCTTTTTTCATTTAAACTATAATTCTTTTGTCACGGGGGGGGGACATATTTTTTTTTTACTTGGGGCGCTCTTTTAATATACCAGACAAAAAAAGGAAATTTACACTATATATTTAGAGAAAAATTATTTTAAATATTTCTATAACAATGCATATTAATCCCAAATGGAGCTTATATTTTGTCACAATATTGTTAAAAATTGTGATTCTGTAATTCTAAAGTCTACATGTGAAATATAGACTTTTTCATACTTTTCATGACTGGCATGTGAATCTTTTATTTTTTCGAATAGTCCAATTCATCTATGATATTTATATACTAAAGTCTATAAAATGAGTATGCACCATAGGACCACAGAAAAATTTTCTTATTGTTTAATGATTATCTAACTAATTGTATTTAATTGATTATATTTATCTTTTTTTATAGTTCTCTCTCATAGAATATGTATGGCCTATTTGAGAATAGCGTTAGCGTTTTGAAAAGGCTATCTACGGGCAGCGTTTAGCGTTAGCGTATTCAAAGTGATCTGCACCGTTAAAATTTTATCCAAAACACTAACGCTAATAATCTCTAACGCTATTCCCATACTGGCAAATAGATCCAAATGAAATTAATGATCCACTAAAATATTTATTTGGTGTGTCTTTAACATAGTTTAATTTATCTTTTTATAGTACTTCCTCCGTCCCAAAAAGAATGGGACAATTTGACTTTTTGGGAAATTAAGAGAGAGATATTTTGGTATTGATTTTTCAAAAATACCCCTGATGTGATGAGTAAAAGTAGGATGTGATGGGTAGATTATTAGAAAAAAAGATATGATGTGATAGGTATGGTATGAAAAAGTAAGGGGTAAAAGTGGTTTTTTAATAGAAATGTAACGGACTTTACGGGACACAGTTTTTTCTAAACGTAACAAACTTTTTGGGACGGAGGGAGTACTTTACTACCCCAAATTACTCTGAAACACAATAAGAAATTATCCAAAATAGGACTAAAACGTAGAGAAAGTACCAAAATAGAAGTTTCATATTTTTATTCTCTAAATAGGATTTCACATTGTGATAATATGACATTGTAAATGTGCATTTTACGTAAAGTATATAGTCATGATTGGTAATGTAAATGCATTTTAACTCATACTTCGGGAATAAAAACACGAAACTCCTATTTTGGTATATTTTAATATTTTTCTTCTACTTTAGTCTTTTTCCTAAATACAACTCAAATTATAATTTTATTTGTTAAAAATTAAACTATAATTACTTCGATTTTTTATTATGAATGCATAAAAATAATTAATGGGGGCACCAATTTTTTTTATTACATCGATTGTTTTTGATGAATAAAAATATTTTCAAAACGTCAAAGTATTATAAAATGATTTGGCATTACTATGACATTGTACCATATATCCCGTTGCTAATGGACATGGTATCGAATTGATATAGGTGTAAAACCAAAACCCTACCAAACCGTTTGAATAGTAATAGTTGTATGGTACGAGTTTTATTAAAAATATCGAGTCGTCACATTGTGGTTTCTACCGCTTTTAATGTAGGCTGATGGGATGGATGGTGGTGATCACAACAATAAGTCTTGTCTCGCCCTGGGTCGTTAAAAGGAGACACGAGACCGATTGCTGATGACATCATCCAATGTCCCCCGGTGAGGTCATCATCGATCGTTTGCCACCACCCTATTTATCCACGTGCATTATGTTTTTGTCGTTACTTTGTTTTGTACTACCACGGTGCATTTATACGTGTAATAATATATTTACTGGAGAATTACTCTATGAGAACAAATCAATGTGTAATATTGTAATTGGGTCGAACCATTTTTGAATCCCAATTTTCACATCATACATAAACCCTCCTGATGCGTTAATACCGGGCCGGGTATGAGGGGTTTACCGAGAAGTTAGGTGGGATACGGTCGGAGCACCAATTGTAAAAGCCATAAAAGAGGGGGGGGGGGAAGAACTCAATAAATGAACATATGATTATTAGTCTCTTTGCTGCCCATATAATATCCCTAGTATAGATTTTCAATGGCTTCTGGTTACTAAAACTGGAGCTTTTCCTCATTCACCGTCTCCGTTGTCTCCGGCGGCATTCAAAACAATCAGTGCACGGCGGAGACTTGCTTCCTCCACCGGAGGAGGAGGAGGAGCCGTCTCGGAGCTTGGAGGGCGACACCTTCAAATCCTCTACCAGAATTTCGCGCAGTTTCTGGTTTTGTTGTGTCAGCTCTTCAATCGCTTGTTGGTGTTTCAGCACCTGAAACACAAGAAAATTATTCAAGAAGAGTTCGTCTCGCATCGACTAAACACGAATTAATAAACCAATATACTCTGCAACAGTCTATTACGACATTTTAGTACATTAGATTTTCAATGAATGTGGACAAACATTCATGTCTACGTTTATTTGATTTGAATGTATCTAAAAAGTCATAATAGACATTAATTCAGGAATGGAGGGAATATGAGATCTTTGGACTAATGCGGATTACATTGTCATGCGCAATTTGGCACGGAATATGTTCCGTGACAAAATTCGTGACAATGTTCTCTGTCTAGGAAAACTTTATTCTACGGTTCTGTGACATGCCACATGTTTTCCACCACCCCTAAAAAAAAAGATTTATGGTGTCAAGTGGCCAAAAGGGAACTCTTACCATTTGAAGCAAGTTGTTCTCCGACGTTAAGCGCTCAACCTGCAAATGTCAAACATTGATGTTTTAAAAAAAGTGTTCATCTTAAAGAAATATCTGATAGAATTATTGTTTCTGTTAAAAATAAAATCTAAAAATAATAAGTAGACATATTACACTCCAAATTGAAACAGCCACAAGATGATTGGGATCCGTGGCACAGAATTTTAAATTTATAGTAGTACTATATATAAATCTGTTCATGTAAAAACGTATCGTATAAATATTTGCGTGGGATGCCCTTAAAACCTTATAATGATCGTTTCCAAGAAACCTCTGACTCAAGCACAGAAGAGTGGATAACTTTCTATCATGAAAAAAAACAATCTCACGTACCAACTCATGCCCGCTATTCTCTCTATCCTTTAGGAGCGGATTCTGCAAGAAGTTGCTGATAACCGTATCCATCCGGCTGCTATGTGATGCATTTGAGGGATTTTTCCCCAAATCCGGCGTTCCCAAAGAAGAGGAGAAAGAGCTCAAATTCCCATCTTTAGGAAAGAGATTCTCTACTGCCTTAGACTGTAACGGCATTATGTTTCCCAAAGGATTGCCGCTTTGAATAGATTTAGGAACAATGCCTTGAGCAACAACAACAGGCATGTTGAAAGACGGCCCAAACTTCATCATAGCTTTTGCCGCGAGTTGCTTGTAAATTAGGAGGCTGGGTTATGTGAAATGTTGGAGAGAAAAGAATTGTTTTTTTAAAAAAAAAAAAAAGTGCCTTGGACAGGGATGCATACAGTGAGACATGATTGAATCTTCTGTGCCACTCCGGGCTTAACAGCAAGACCTGACATTTATCACCAATGTTTTGCTGTTTAACATAGAAAAATAATTGTGGGATGAATAGGCAATAAGTGATAAACAAAAACACACAACATTTATGCCCTGAGGCTATGTTTTTTAGCCGGGGTGTCTTGGAAACAACCTCTTCACTTCCGAGTAGAAATAAGGCCCCACACACCCTCGCAGATTCTACTTTTTGTGGGATTTTATTGGGTTTGTTGTTGTTGTATTAGAGCTATGTTTCTCTATCAGCGTGTAAACAAAAAAAATGTCATTTGGTTACACACAAAATGCTGTTTTATCTTGGAAAATGAGATATGGTTAATTTGTTTAGTTTTTTTCTTCTTCATACATTTAGATTTCGAGACTCCTATATTTTTCTTTAAAGTTTCTTCCCCTCCCCTTGTTTCTATTTTCCTTCCCAAGTATTTTCCAAGCCCCAAACAAACACCAAACGGATCAACTTTTTCCTCAGGTTCCAAACAGACCCTAAATGTGAGTAGTAACACAAATTCGATTCTATGCTTGTATAATGGCCATATCTTCTGATACATACCAATACCAAAGCCATGGCCAAAGCCTATTCCACATCCAATGCCAACTTCAATGTTCTTTGCCCCAAAACGCCGCAACTATAAAAATTAAAAAATTATACACATACAAAAACAAAAACAAAATTCCACCCTCCCCAAACAGTGTCTAACATCGTGTTGGTAGAAGCATATCACCGAATATAAACAAAATAAAAATAGATATAGAAAAGTGTCTTACAGAGTTATTGACATTCCTTCCTACACCGGAGAAAGCATCTGTGGCACCTCTAGTTGCAACCATAACTTGGTTTAGCATCGGAATTCCGGCTGATGCGGGAAATAAGCAAACAAGTAAATAATGGTAACCAAAACCAGAGAAGCGATTCTGAGGAAAAGAATATATGGTTCACAAAATTTCTCTCCTCCAATAAAATTTCAACTGCCCATTTTTCACTCTTCAACATTTTTTTTCTTAAACTCTATGGAGTCAAAAGCGGACTATAATTTTGAGGACAGAGGGAGTAAGAAATTTCTCAGAAAATTTCCCAGACTAACAAACTGACTAGTTTATCGAACTAAACATAGCAACCAAAAGTAGTACACCTTAGGGGAAACAAAATGGCATTTTCTTCCACGACTCCTCCACCAAACACCAGAAATAACAAGAACAAGCAAACCCAATAGAATACCTCAGAAATAGAGTCTAGTCTTGAGAGGTTATGTGTACGCCGGCCTTACCCCTACCCACTTGGGAGGGTATGTGTACGTGGGCATTACTCCTACTTATGAGGGTATGTGTCCGCAGACATAAACAGAAATAAATTCAAAAAATAAAACACGGAAACAGATCCCTAGCATCAAGAACAGATCATAGAGTAATAGAAACATAGGTGAAACACAGTACACATACACCTCTGTGAAAACGCAGACCAACAAGAAATCAGAACCTATGTTAAATCTCATGCGGAGTGTCATTTTTATAGTCTTTAGACCTCATGAGACTTCAAAGTTCAAATCTTTTTAAAATTCTGGCACAGAAGCACCCAAAAGTCATGACAAAGGCTCCAAAACAAACACCACTCCAACAAAGAGGGGAAGAAATTACTTGAATCTTTCTGGCATTTTCTGTTTCTGGGTTTCAAAAAATCTTGAAAATTCATGTCTCCCTTTCTATCCTCCGTTTATAAAAATAAAAAACAAATAATATTTCACCGATGAATAGAGAGAGAGAGAGAGAGAACCGAGGTTTAAAGGGCGGCCAACGCCGATGCCAAAGCCACAGCCGATTCCAAAGCCGGTGAAAACTTGACCCACTTTCAAAGAAAACGGATTCTCTACTATCACTCCACTCCCACTCTTGGAATCCATCTCCATTCCCTCGCCCGATCAACTATAAGCTTCGGTTCTTGTTTATGATGCCTTGCTTGAATCCTGGAGAATCTACTGAATTCGGAGGCGGGCAAAAATCCCAATCCAATTGCCCAATTGGTATAGGTAGTGAGGAGACTGGATAGGGCTTTCGAACCAGGTCGGCTATTCTTTTGTGCCCAACTTATAAAAAAAAACTTAGATTTCTAATTATAGAATGTTTCAAAATTAAAATAATGATTATTTTAGAATAAACAACGCATTTTTACAAAATGAATATTATGCTGAATAAGCTTCGAAATGAATGGTACGGTTGAACTTGAAAATGAACATTATGTTAATTTAAAATGGGAGAAAGACCAAAGTAGGACTAAAACACTGAAAATATACCAAAATAGAACTTCCATATTTTGAATCCTGAAATAGGACTTACATTACCAAACATAGTCATATACATTACCACAAAAGTGTATAGTAATGTGCACATGTACACTGCCACATTACCACAGTGCAAAGTTTTATTTCGGGAAAAAACATGAAAGTCCTATTTTGGTACTTTTCTCTATGTTTTAGTCCTATTTAGGGTGATTTCTAATTTAAAATGAACATTTACCGAATGTACCTAGCTAGCTCTACATATAACTGGATGTACGGTATACACAGGACCGGCCTCAAAAAATGAAATTGGGCCTGTCCAAAATTTACATTTTGGACCCTTAAGAAATCTCTCATTTTGGTTCCTTAAATGTTTAAACTAATGCAACGCCCCTTAACATTGTGACGTTTTGAACATACTCCATATTTATATGATGCCCATAACATCATCATTTTTTACATTTAGAGTCAGAGATGATGGTGTAAATTATTTTGATCGAATATATCGTTATTATTCGGACAAGGACGATAGACTAGTTCAACAAAATATATCAAATTACAAACAAATAAATTTTTACTTTGGGATTCAATCGGGAGAAAATTAATAAATCATGAACTTTTTCGGAAGAATCTTACTGACGAGTAATTTTTATTAGTAATATCGTAAGTTATACATGGTACATGATTTTAGCCTAGAAACCATTAATTGAAGCTTCAAGCTTCCTCAGGAGATGAAGAAGATAATACTCCCTCCGTCTTATAATGTTCTTCCCGGTTCTGTTTACGAAGTTTGACCGACTTTATTTTTTATTCAATTTATTTGATTGTAGTTATAAAATTAAAAAATAAAATTTATATATTTAAAAACTATATCAAAAGTTCTACAAAACAAGTGGTGACAAAATTATATTATTTTATCAAATATCTAATGAAAATAGGTAAAGAAAGTGATTAAAGTTTGACCGTGTGAATAGTAAGTGGAAAGAACATTTAAGGACGGAGGGAATATTAAGAGAGAGAAGAATATGAGGATCAGAGTGTGTTATTCCCATCTTTGATGACCAGTAAGAATGAGCTTAACAGCCGCCAACTCAGATCCACGGCTGCTCTATAAATATCTTCTCAGTTCTTCATTTCATTTATATATACCCAAAATCGTCGTCGCCCCCAGATTCCCATCCATGGCGGTATTGATCTCCGCCGCCCATCTCCTCCGCCAGAGGACGCCTCTTGCGCCGCTCCGTACAAGAGCGCTCTCATCGCGTTCTTCCAAGTCCGGCGGGGCCGGATCCAAATCCGAAGAGGTGGTGATTGTGGGGGCCGGGATTGCTGGGCTGGCCACCGCGGTTGCGCTGCGGCGGCTGGGCGTCGGAAGCCGGGTGGTGGAGCAGGCGGAGTCCCTGAGGACCGGCGGGACTTCGCTCAGCCTGTCTAAGAATGGGTGGAAGGTGTTGGATGCCATTGGAGTTGGAGGCGGCATCAGAAGCCATTTTCTTGAAATTGAAGGGTAAGTGTTCCCTTTATCACTCCCTCTGCTTCTATAATGTTTCCTTCTTCACCAATTTTGAATATAAAGTGAACGAGTTAAGTGCACAGTTTACCCCGTACTCTTTAGAAATTACATGTTTTACCCCTGAACTTTAAAAAGTGCATCGATTACCCTTGAACTCTTCGAAAATTGCACGATTTACCCCTGCAGACTAAAAATGCACCAAATACCCTTGAACAAATTAAAACGTTGCATCGTTGGTCGTAAACGATTAGATAGAGAGGGTGTTGCTTCCACGCACAAGAATTGTGAATATCATTCATCTCACCCTTGTGAATTTTCCAAAATATCTTTACCCAAAATTGTCATCTTTATTTAAATGTTCAGGAGTAAACCTTACAATTTTTGAAGAGTTCAGGGGTATTTGGTGCAATTTTTATTGTTCAGGGGTAAACCGTGCAATTTCTGAAGAATTCAGGGGTATTTGGTGCACTTTTTAATGTTCGGGGGTAAACCATGCAATTTTCAAAGAATTCGGGGGTAAACGGTGCACTTAACTCTAAAGTGAAATTATTAGGTGAAAGTTCATGCTGACTTAATATAAATAAGGCAAAATTATTCGGAATAAATAAGAAATGGTACATTAATACTCTGTATAGCGCGTAAAATTTTAAAACCACCACTTCGGATATTTTTATTTTATTTTTTAGCAGTTTCAAGTTAATTTATATTGATTACCTTATTTGTTTCATTAATTTTGTATGGTTTTAGTTATTTTTTTCATTTTCGTTATTTTTTATATCTATTTTTATATTTTTATCCAAAGTTAGACCAATCTTTAAAAAAGAAAAAGAAAAAGAAACGATGGAGGTAGAAAGTCATTATAAAAATTTAAATGAAAAATTTCAAAAAGAAAATAAAAAAAGAAAATTCATCAAAAATAAAATTAACTTTCATTTTGTTGAGCAAAACAAGCCGTTTCCGTTAACTCGCCGTTAGCAACTTAACTTCGACCTAAAACTCGTAAACTTCAGTAATGTTGGGATTATTATGCATCAAGGTGAGATTATTTTTTTTAAGACCAGGTAAAATTGGATTATACTACTAAACAATACAAAACTTTTCTTAAAATTTTCCAAAAGTTCCAAGCATCTGTGGGAAAAAAACATTTGACGATTTTGTCTTGCCACTAGTATACCATTTACCAAGTTCCACAAACATCAGCCTCATGCATTGAGTTTGTATAAACAACAAGTCAACAACTCAGTATAATCTCAACTTCATTCAGGAAAGTTTAATGTCCCATTTGGATTAGGTCCACTTTCCTCTATAGTGAGTTCAAATTAAGACTTGAGAGAGGAGAACAAGTTGTGAATGAAAGGAGGAAAATAAGTTCAACCTGTTGATTTTGTTGTAATATTTGGGTACAGGGTGGTCTTAAAAGCCGAAGACGGGAGGCAATTGCGCTCTTTCTCGTTCAAACAAGAGGACCCGAGGTTGTTGGCGTTCTCTTTTCTTCATATTCCCCGCCGAAATTCATCTTGTCTTGTGATTTGTTTTGTTGATCTTGTTGTTGATGGAGCAGCCAAGAGCTGCGCGCCGTGGAGAGGAGAGTCGTGCTAGAATCACTAGCCAACGAACTTCCTCGAGATGCCATTTCCTTCTCCTCGGGGCTCTCAAAGATTGAAAGACTCGAATCCGGGGAAACGTTGTTGGAACTTGATAACGGGTCACAGTTGACCGCCAACGTATGCCATTTTGCACCCACCTAACCATCCGTTTGAGCCAAGTATCATTTGTTCGTTCATTGACATGAGACTCATTCTTTGACGCAGATAGTGATTGGTTGTGATGGGGTGCGGTCTCGTGTGGCAAAGTGGATGGGGTTTTCGGAGCCGAAGTATGCGGGCCATGTTTGCTTTCGAGGAATAGGAACGTACCCGGAGGGACTTCCGTTTGAGCAGAGAGTGCATTACACATATGGAAGAGGAGTGCGTGCTGGTTTTGTGCCCATCTCTAATAGTAAAATCTACTGGTTCATCGTCTACAACAGCCCATCACCAGGTATATATGCATTTGTGTTGTTTGACATCTAGTGGTTAGCCTAAGGTCGTCTTCAGCTAAGGTTCCAAGCAGAGAGAGCAGGTCCTTATGTATGGTCTGTTAGTACACAATTTTAGTCTTTTAGATGCAGAAGATGATCATTGTTAATTGAAGTGCTGAAATGAGAGATTGAGAGTACAACCTTGGAGCCTAAGGTTGTGTGCAGCTAAGTTGCACAGAGACGGGGTCGGAAACGGGGAATTTGCCAACTTTTCTAAATTTTACAAAGAATTTTTGAGCCGAGACGTCTAGAAGTACCCAAACGGGGACGTTTTGGGGACGGGAAACGGCACTTGTTTGAGGAATCCATGCGATAGAGGTTTTTGGTGGGAGAAGATTTGGGGGGAGGGGGAGTTCATATATTCGGGTCATATGGTTTAGTTATCTATTGAATACGAGTGAAATTGTCATCCCAACTCGAAGAGCCAACACCACCCTTCTTCAAATCCCCTCCAACCAAACGCGCCCTTAAGGTCGGTGTTTCAAAGTTTGTACTTAAAACAACAAAGCCAATAATATCCCGGACCATGCTAGGGTGCCACCACATGGGTGCTACCATGGGTGCACCCATGCTTCGCACAGACAAACACAGACAATAATTGTCTGTGTCGCACAGACAATTATCGTCTGTGTTTGTCTGTGCGAAGCATGAGTGCACCCATGGTAGCACTCATGTGGTGGCACTCTAGCATTTTCCTAATATCCCACAAAAAGTAATGTCTGAGGAGAGTGTGTAGAGACCTTACCCGTACTTGAAAGTAGAGAGGACATTATTGTACTAAGAATTCTGGAAAATATCGAATGGCAGGTCCAAAGATAACTGATCCACAGGTTATGAGACAGCAAGCGCAAGAACTAACAAAAAGTTGGTCACCGGAGTTACGTACCATCATCGACAACACCCCAGACGAGACACTGGTAAGGAATCCCCTTGAAGACCGTTGGTTGTGGCCATTGACTAGTCCTCGGGCATCTTCCGGTAGGGCCGTGCTGGTTGGGGACGCGTGGCACCCAATGACACCCAATCTCGGGCAGGGGGCATGTTGTGCATTAGAGGACTCAATTGTTTTGTCCAAGAAACTTGCAGGGGCAATCGCGTCCGACAATGCTTCCGTGGAAGAAGCATTCAGAGAGTATGAAAGAGAGAGATGGCCCCGCATTTTCCCGCTAATGATACGTGCGCATGTTGTGGGGGCGTTCTTGCAGTGGGATAATTCAGTGGTGTGTTGGATCAGGAACAATGTGATTGTACCTAAGCTGTTGAAACTTGGACCAATGCTTAAACATACAAATTTCGAATGTGAACCTCTAGGAACCAAGGCTGTTTAGGCAACCACATTTTGATATCTATACTAGACAGTAAAAATTTATGAACTTTTGGTTTGTAATACAATAAGCCATCTGTTTGGCAGTGTAAATCAAAACAGAAACTATATTTCGAATGACAATGGTACATGACATATACTATGTAATAAGCCTATGAGTTCAAAAAATGTGTTGGAAATGGAGAGAGTAAGAATGTATAAAAAAAATTTATCTGTCATCTGGCAGACCCTATGGATCATCAGAGTCGTCTAGCAACTGCTCTGATCTCAAGCTGCTTTCATCCCATATGGCCATTGACATCACTCACAAATACAGAACCATTGAATCTGGAAAAGAAATAAAACAAATACATGTACTGGCCATTTACATTCTATTATGGTGTAGAAGTTTATTGACCAAAAGGCTCTAATTCTAATCAAGAAAACATGTTGGTATGTAGTATGAAGTTTTAAAAATTCCATCAACTTTGTAGCCCAGACATCCAGGATTTGATAGGCTGAAAGATAAAATGCAATAAGGGATATACATGTGCTTCTAATTAGTTAGTTTATGATAGTAAAATAATAAGAAACACTATGAACAGCTCCATCTAAAAACCCCTTATTTCAAAAATTTCTTTTCTCCAAGCAAATTTTAAAGCAGTCTTTGAACACATTTTATCTTAAATTGTACGACATAAAAGTTATGTCTTTAGTAGACCCTCAGTTCCTGAACTCTCTCATCACTTTCATTCTTTGTCCATTTTCGATATTATCACTTATTCTTTCTCTTTAAAGAAGCCAACATGTATCTTGCATTTACATCTCTTTCTTCTGAACAAATTCAATCATACAGTTTTAAATTTCTTTAGTTTTGCTACTGGTTTAGCCAGGCAATAATAAAGGGACGAGGGAGTATTTACATAAGCAAATTGACTAGGAAGCTCGGTCAGCAATGTTTGACTTCAATCAGTTCAATGGCAAAAGCATATCGGAAGTTCTTCAGGAAGATTAATGGAATGATTACAAGAAAGTTTTTGAGCCAATACACTTGCAACACAAAGATGCACCACTTTCGAATATTTTTAGTGCATGAAATGAAAAGTGAAAATATTACCAGATTGGAATCTTTTGGATCTGCCAAACTACTTGTAGCATTCCTCAGATTCCTAAAAATTAAGTTTGGAGTTAGAGGCCAAAACAAAGAAAAAGATTATAACATTAAAAATCAATCTAGCACTCTAAAATGAAGTGGGCAATTCGTTAGTAGTTGCCTATGCATAAGGCTATCAGCAACTCAATGAAAATGGCTATTAGCCTCTTTGGGTTGTGAACATTAGTCTGCCTAAACACACCTAAAGCTAGGCTTCCCTTCACAGTCTACATCGGTTTTCATTTTCCCGTATCCAACCGCGTAATCTTGGCTACGCTTCTCCAAAGTCCAAGCCCCGCCTAGGGGTCATTTTTTTTAAAGCATTGCCTTTAGAGTATTAGTGACAACATTTAAAGTAGCAAGGCCATTTGTTATCATAAATTTATTTTTTTATAAATACCTCATCCTAATGATCACGATTTGAAACCTTAATCCGTTTTATTATCAAGAGGTTATTGAGAACAAAGCAATCTGATTGTGCCAAAACTAGACTTCACCATTTCATGTTTTTACATAAAACCCATAGCCGCAAACTTCTGCGAATCTGGTGTATTTGAACCATACTAATCTGTTCTGATGAAGGTTTCTGTAGGCATTTGGATGGCGAAGCTACGGCCTACGGAGGACTTTGTCTATGTCTATATAAATAGAACGAAAAACAAATACAGCGTGATTGAAATACACATTAGAACATAGACTAACCCCTCCAAAGGATTGACCTACAAAATCCTACATCCAAAGGACCCTAAGTGGCTATATTTTCATCTAACAGTTTACACCATGTTTAGCAATTTCATATTCCAATATGGTGATCAATTGTAAATTCCACAGCACAAGCACAAAGTAGTGAAACTGCAATTCATAATATCTCATACATCTACCTGCATAAATACGATATAAAGCATGCCAAATTTCAAATCCAGGCCCTTATTTATTCGACTTGAAGAATCAAGCAAGTGCAGTTGAAATCAATGACAATTTGGATACCTTGACCGGAGAAAAGCCACAGAACGATGACGGACAAAAAGAGTATCAGAGGGATGAGATGCACGAAGTTCTCCGATGATCTGAGTCGATCTCTCTCCTTCTTTGCGAGATAAGATCGGGGGTTGTAAGTCGGCAACTCGTCAGAGTCGCCGGCGAACGCCAATCTGAGATTCGGAGAAGAGTAGGCGGGTAATAGAGATGAAGACGACGATGAATGTGGAGAGAACTCCGAGATCCTGCTGGAGCTCGATGATCTGTGCATGGTGATAGCGCCGGCGGGAATGGAGCCGGGAAATGTTCCGTACAGAATTTGGACTCGGGGTAGATTCCAATTTTATTTTATTTTTTGCTTTTGGCAATATTTAATTACTCTATTTCTTTGACAAGCTCTATTTGGTAGATATATTTAGGACCATGCTACACTTACACCAACAAATATACCTCATTTGTACACCACAGGTTTACACAAACATTTCAATAGTTTACACCGACACAAGTGTTGGTGCGTTAATAAAAATTCATACGGACACAAGTGTTGGTGCGTTTAACAAAAATTAGTTTTACACCGACACAAAATATTGGTGCAAAACTGCGGGGTACAAATCTTGGGATACACATAGCATAATCCATCTATTTATTTAAAAAGGATGAGCCCATTCGGGAGGGCTCCCTCATAACCAATCGGGCAATAACTGAAAAGAAATAATTTAGATTTTAATCGCAGATTGGTTGCAAAGAGTGAAACATGCACCTGATACAGAGACCCAATGCTTGGCATAATTGTCTCTCAACGCAGTTCTTATGAATCAAACTCGAATCTTACCTCATTGACACTCATTGCCTCTGCCAATTGCGCAACACCCACCGGTGGTAGATCTATTTACAAATATGGAGTAAAATAGTCCCTCATAAAAAATTGCCACTCTTTGATTTTCACAAAATTTCTAAAAATTGGAGAGTATAATGATTAGAATTTAATAATATTCTGCACGAGATAAAAATGATGAGTCATTGTTTTTTTAAAGAAATTATGAAGATATTTTAGAAAGGATGAGAAACAAAAGAGTGGAACGTTTTTTTGCCGAATGAATAGAGTATTTTTGCACTGGTCTACATATATACAACAAATTTTGTTTGTAAAATTAGTCTTTGATGTAAAATAGAAAATAATACTTCAGACTAGAGTTCTAAATGAACTAAATAATTTTGATTTGATTCGTGATTTAGTATGAATAGTACTCCTTCCGTCCTCCTGTATTTGTCCACTTTCATTTTTGCACACCATCCAATGCACTTCTTTAATCCATTTTATCTTATAATTTGTATATTAAAAAATTATAAAAATTATATATTAATAATCTATATGTTAAGACAAATCAAACAAGATCACACATGACTATATTTAGGCTTACACATTGAGAGAATTTGATTAGTCAAAATACTTAGATGAACAGTTCCAAAAGTCAAATGTGGACAAATACAGGGGGACGGAGGGAGTATTTGTTATTCATTACGTTAACGAAAACGAATAAGAATATATCAATATTTGATATAGTACCTAAATGAATATATTTGAAATGACTGGTCAAAATTGTAAATACTAAAAAATAAATAGGCAATTCCCTAAATACTTGACCATAAAATGTATTTTCATCTTCAATATATACATTATGAGTATATACTTCAATAACTTGTGTCAATAACTATATTTGTACACGGAGTTTTTCAAAATAATGGTTTTATATAAATCACACTTCTTAAAAAATAAATTAAATAGTTAAACAAATCTAATACTTTTAAAATGAATACATTTTTTAAACAAATCAAATATCTTATCTATGATAACGAATTAAATATGAATCTCTGAACATATTCTAATCAAATACGGATATGAATACAAATACCATCGAAATCTACCAAATACACATAATATTTATATTAATACCATCGAAATCTACCAAATACAGATAATATTTATATTTATGAATATCCGTTAAGGTTCGGTTGGTCTCCTTCGTATAAAATTTCGAGTCGTGTAATTATGATCCTAGGATCCAAATATGAAACGTGAATCTTCACACACGTTTTCTTTGAACTAATAATTAGATCTTTTTTTCTTTGCAATGACTGATACATATAATTGTTTTATATATTAAAGTCTATAAAATTAACATGGATCTAAAGACCACATAACTTAAGTTTTCTTCATTCTATGAGCAAATTTCAATGAAAATTGATCTCTTCTCTATTTGGGCAACTAGGCAAGGGCAATGTTAAGTGTTTCTCAAACGAGATACCTTATTTGTATGCAATGCATTCATAGACACAAATTCTCCATGTTTGTACATGTGAAGAGTCTATATTTGTCTCTGAATGTCTCAAGTATTTTGATCTCTATTTTCATTTGAGAAATTTATTTAAATAACACTAAAACGTAATGATTTTCTCTAAATAGCATCACATATTTTTATTTTCTAATATGACACTTTTAGTCATTATCCATTACTCATTATTCAAGTAAATATTCACCATTACTGGACATTATTCCTTTTTTTAGATATTATAAAATACTATTTAAGAAATTAGAATATTTAAAAACTACATTAAAAAATGATTTAAGTTTTAGTAGAAAATATTGGAAAAGGCTATGTGTACACCATTTGTGTACACCGTTTGTACACCATATACCCCCCTCCCTCTTTCTTCTCTCTATACCCTTCCCCTACTTTTTTTCTCTCTCCCTCTCTCTCTCTCTCGCAGATCTCTCCACGGAAGAAAGCAGGGAGCGGGCAACTAATGGAAGATCAGCCCTTCTCCCAGAATTCCTCCTTCGTCTTCCTCGTTCTTCCGTAGTAACATCGCCTACTCGCCTTCCTCAGTCTGGTGCATCTGTGGATGATCCAACTTGGCGGAGACTTCATCCTTCATCTTCTTCGATCTTCTGCGTCCTAACCACCGTACAACAACAAACTAAAGGTTATAATAAACACTTTTTATTTCAATTTTAGGGTTTTTATTTGTAAAGCCAAATTCAATCACTCAATTCTAACCACAAATCAATCCTTCCCTCTTGTGAAATTAGTCTTTTTTAAATGTTTTTTTGTGAATCATTGTTTCTCAAACTTGTCCAGTCATTTAATTCTTTTTTTAATCTTTTCAATGGCTGATTTTTTGTTAAAAACTTGTGGTAATTGGGAATTTTTCATGTTTATGACGAAATGTCTGTGTAGTGTTTGTTATTGGTGAAAAATGTTCGTATTTTATTTAAAATTTGCTCAATTTCATAAATTGCTTTGAAATGTCTATGATGTGCTTCTTGTTGGCACAAAATGTCTGTATTCTAAGAAAAAACTTGCTTTGATTGAAAATTACTCTAAAATGTTTGTGATGTGCTTATTATGGAATGCATGTTTTCCAATTAAGAGTACGTCTACTTAGTTTCAACACTTGCTATAAAAAGTCTCTAAACTGCTTCTTATTGGATCTTTTATTCATTGTCTTGATAGCTACATATACATTGCTTTTTACATGTATTTGAAAGATATGTCAACTCAATGATAGTGAATGTCTCAAGGTATTTAATTAAATTTTTAAAACTTATAAATTAAGAACATTCTCTAATGGTGGAAATTTTTGTATGTTACATTTGCAATGCCGATTGTACAAATATTTTCCTTTTGTTAGAATTTGTTTTCACTGGTAACTTGTAGAGGGTTAGGTGTTTGTTATTTTAAGGGCTTTGGTTTACTTCACTCATCTCCTCTTGTATTTTTAATTTTGATAAAAAATGTTTTTGTTGAATTAATCTATTTGAATACAACACTCACAGACAATTAGTGTTTATGGTTTAGCATTCACAAACAAAAAATGTCTATGAATGTCGCAGACTCGCAGCTTACTCCTCCAGCTATTGTGTCTACTCAGATTGCACATGAATCCCATGAGAGTGCAATTGGCAAAAAATGGCATCAGACTTGGAGTATCAATTTGACTACACCAAATCCTTCTCAAAGTTTGGTTAGGAGGTACTGGAAATATAAGATAAATCATATTTACTCATGTATCAATGTAATTGAATAAATTTTCCTTGTTTATATTGGGGTTAAGAATGTGTTTTTGCAAGGTATTGTCGAAGAACTTCTGTCGTCCACATATGTTAAAGGAATTATATTCTATTTTTGTTTAAACTCCTTATTTTAACTAAGATGACAAACCATTTTGTTTGTATCTTGTATGTGATATTACCTTTACCTTTACAGTTTGTGCAAACAAATGACCCTTTAATTTTATTATTTTTTAATTACTTTTGTATATTATTTGTGCAGGTTATCAGTGACATATAAGTGATTCAGTAGCAAGCCTTTATATTTCAACAAATATAATTAGGGAACAATTGTATGAGAGGATCATATATATCGGATTGTAAAACTCTTATTAACTTTTTAATAGTGAAAAGTATTAGAATTTAATATATTTACAAGTCACTTGTAATTTGTATTGAGTTTTTGTACTTGGTAAATTGTACTATATGATTCACATAAAAAAAGTATGATTCACATAAAAAAAGGTACTCCATTAGTCCATTTTATTTCAATGTTCTGTTTTTGAAGTTGTAATAATTGGGGAGGCTTAAACGTTGCGTTAGTATTAAAAAAAGGGTTGCAAAAATTGAAAAGAAAGATGTCATATGTTAAGTCTTTCACTACTCTTGAAAATTGTTGCATAGACAAAAGTGTCTGTAATTCATTAGAAATAGATATTTATTGTCTATTTAACCTGTGTAAAAATTAAATGCATCAAATATACCAAAAATTAAATGCGTCAAATATACCACATAATGTAAAAATTAAATGCGTCAAAAATTAAATGCGTCTCCAGATTATAAAAAAAGCTTTAATTATCACTTTCTACTTAAATAGACATTCAATATATGAAATTCTTGATACATCAAGAACATTCTATAAATTTCTTAGTGTTTATAAAAAGAGAAAAATTACACCACTATCTCTGTCAAAATCTACAGCTCCGACTACGTTGTTGAAGACAAAAATGATTGCGGTGGCAGCGAAGAAATTGAACATGTGCTTCGTCACCCTTCTCCCATCCAAATCTCACTTTTGTTCTCCATCTAACTAATATATGAAAATTGCACTTGCCAAATATACCAAATAATACAATAATAAGAATACATCATGATTTTTTCTTATATTGTAAAAATAAACTAAGTACGGAGTATGTTTTGGTCACATAGACAACAAGCGTATGTAATTCATAGTAAACAGAAACTTATTTTCTGTAAAATCTAAATACAAATTTACAGCTGTCAAATATACCAAATAATGTTATCATAAAGAATGTTTTACAATTTTCTCTAGATTGTAAAAAAGAAAAAAATTTAAAATTACCACTGTTTAATTACACAAACACTAAATATCTATAATCATTGATACACAGACATTTATTATTTGTGTAATTCAGATAAAAATTTCACCCTTCAAATCTACGAAATAGTATTCTACCAAGAACATTTCAGAAATTTTCTTATGTTTAAAAAAAATGAAAAATTACAATCAATACTCTTTAGTCACACAGACACTAAAATTCTTTATTTTCTTGAACACAGACATTTACTATTCGTGTAATCTGAATCAAAATAGACATTTACTCTCTGTGTAAATATATTTCACAGACAAAGAATGTCTGTAGAATCATTATTTATTCTCTTCCACAACTATTCAAAATTAGCGCAACCTTGTTCAATTTTTTTTATTTAATAGATCCTCAAACACTTTTAAAAAACACAAATCTTACAGAATATCAAATATTCAATATTTATGCAACTTCATTATTGTAAGAGTTCTATGAGATAGTTTCTCACAGACACCATAAACCTGTGTGATTCTTAAAATGATGAAATATCATTATTTCACAAAATATTAAATCAGACTCCAAGAAGTCACAAATAAATATCTAAGACCAACAATAATCATAATAAGAAGTTTTTACACGGATTTGATTTGAAAAAATCAAAAGATTGAGGTGTTGATGGTGACGGGGAAGGAGCAGACGACGACGGAGTTGATGCTGCACGACGATGGGTAAGGTGGTGGTGGCAACCACAGGGAAGAGACCGCCGGCGGAGGAGATGATGCAGCGCTGGAAAATCGATGCTTTTGGTCGAAAAAGTGAGAGACGGTTGCTTCTCATCTCTAGTGGTCTATTTTGAGGTGGAAAAGAAAAGGGGGGAGGGGGGGAGGGGTATATGGGGTACAAGCTGGGGTACACATGTGGTGTACCCCTAGCACATCCGNGGTGGTGGCAACCACAGGGAAGAGACCGCCGGCGGAGGAGATGATGCAGCGCTGGAAAATCGATGCTTTTGGTCGAAAAAGTGAGAGACGGTTGC